AATGGGCTATTATATCCTGGATCTACACAGATATTTGCATCCTGTCCCTCTTTGGGAGGAAAAGCGAGGGTTATTTCACACACCTGAGCTCAGTGGGGTTTGTGTCACTGTGGTGCTGTGAGGGAGCCCTGCAGGGATGCAGGATTCCACCATCCCCACCAAAAGTGTCTGCAGAGGGCACAGAGAGCCCCCCAGCCCGGTCAGCAGCCAGCCTCTGGGCAAGGGTGACAGCTGTGTCACCCCTGCCACGCTGTCAGGGCTCTGAGAGAGCAGCTGCCCGAAATGAGGTGTGACAGGCAAACCTGCCCCAGAGAAACCTGGCAGCCTGCAAAGGTCGAGCTCAAATGCACTGGTAGAGCTCCAGATACACACACAGGCTTTGGCACTTGGCCAGAGATTCCTCTTTACCCAGCATTTGTGCTCCCATCCCAGGATGCCCTGATCCAAGGCAAGGACCAGAGCCAACACATTGCAGTACTGCTCCCCTCAAAAAATTCCAGAGGAGATAAATTCCCTTACTAGGCTGCAGTTGTCCAGCTTCCATGCTTTTCTCTATGCCAGTTACTGGCTCCAAAAGCAGGGTTATTTTCTCCTATCACTCACAAACACTAACCTCTCCTGTCCTGCTGTAGCTAAGGAATGGCATTTACCTGACAGTCCTGAGACACTTGGCATGGAAAGCTGGAGAGCTAATGTAAAGGTGGGGTTAATTACATGGTTATTTATTTACTGTGGGGGAAAAAAAAACCCTGTGGATGTTTTTTTTTTCATCAGACACATCCTGTGAACATCAAACACGAGGCGCCATTGCCAAATGCTCCCCTTGGCATCCCAACACAATGTACCTTCCCCTGCCCTGCTTTGTCTTGCACAGATTGCTGTATCCTGGAATGCAGTACTGTGCTTATTAATGGCTGAAATTATCCACTGGCTGGTTAAAAAAATGCTAATTCTGGCTACCAAGTGAGATAACCAGTAATTTTGTAAAGTACATTTAGTCAAATAAGATTTTTTGGCAGCCAAATGTTGTTGTAGCAGAATGTGCTTCCCTGATTGACATATGCTAACAATACTGCCTCCACAGTCAGGGGGAGGATAATTTACTTTCCATTTCCATTGGAAATGAGGTGAACCAGAATGTGGTATATTGTTAAAGTGTGGCTCTGTGGTTTAATAGATCTGCTCAAAACCACAAATCAAGTGATGTGCTGTATCCTCAGCCCTCTCCCTCGTCACTTCCAGGAAACCAGCAAGGACAAATCTCCTCCTGAGTCAGTTTTCAGCTCATTTGGGGTTTCTCACCCCTTTCCCCAGGAGTCTCTGCACTGAGAATCCTCCCCAGCAGAACACAGGGAGGCTGCAGCCATCTCACAGCATTCCCCAGGTGTGCACGGGGAAACGAGCTATGACAGAAACTTAGTGGGTACAAATGAGGTTTTCCCAGCTCCTCATCATCCACACTTCTCTCTCCATTTCAATTGTCCTTCCCTCAGCCCTGGAAAGAAAGGGAGCAAATCTGTTTGGGCATCCCAGCTCAGTGCTGGAAGGGGCTGTGTCCCTGGAGAGGCTGAGCTGACAGCGAGCAAGGATTGGCTCTGCTCTCCCCTCACTCATCAGGCTACAAGGGAACATCTCTCATCTCTGACACAAAATCCCTGGCACAATCCAGGGTTAAAATTGTCCCTTCATCTCAGCTGGCCCCCTTGCCCACTCCAGGAGCCTTGCTGCTGCTGCTGCTCCATGGATGCACCACACTGTGCTGATGCTGGAACCAGCATTTCTTGCTTCACTGGCTTTGGGGCATTTTATTTACTTATCTGGAAAAAAGGCATGAGGGAAAACACAAGACCTGTGTTCATCTTTTATGTTCTCAGTATTGGAACACTTTCTATTTTCTCATCAAAACTCTTTCAATTAAATTGTTGTGAGTGGTTCTGATTCTTGGCTGTTTTTATCATAAATACTTACAGTGTTGAATTTGCCACTGAATGTCCAGAAGAGCCTTTAGCCCAATGTGTTTACTTTTAACCAGTTCTCCAAGATCTAACTCATTTTTTCTGTGCCTGTCCAAAATCTTGTGCTAATGGACCATGGGAGCAGCCAGCTGCAGGTGGCTCAGGTGATGGAGTTTTGCTGGGAGCAAAGGTGACCCACAAACAGGTGTAATACTCACAAATTTTACCCTCCTTGCCTTCAGATGTATCTAACAAAAAAAGTTTTGTCTTGTAGTAGGGATCCAAGCCCCATTTTTTTCCAAAGTGGCCACTGATGTTGGAGACACTGTAAAAAATCCCATTAATCACCTCCAAAAGTCTTCCTGCTCCTGAACTTTTGAGGATGTAGTCCTGGGACCCCAGGCCAGCTCCTCTTGAGCAGGTGGGAAATTTTCCACTGGCTTTGAGAAGTTGTTGGAGGCACCAGCTCCAGCAGTGTGCAAAGTCACCTGAAAATGAAGTGTTGCTGCACTGATGTGCAGAGTGTGCTGGGCTCCCAGCAAGCAGCTTGACAGAAAAACGGGGAATTTAAATGGTTTTCTTAGGAAAATTGGCTTTTCTCGCCATTATGTACTTTGGGACTTTGTGTTTGCAAATAATTCATAATTCTTTCAACAAATTAAAACATTCTGCTACTGGGGAAAATATTGATTTTTTTTTTAATTTTTTTTTTTTTTAATATATGAGAGTTTTGCTACAAATCAAGGCAGGGAAAAAAATCTTTAAATATAGCCTTTGATGGAAACTATGCAATATTCCCACTTTTATCATAACAATTCCTAAAAGGGAAAGTCAATGCTATTCTAGCCAATTTCATAAGCTCTTTAAAAGACTTCACAATGCAACTATGGAATGAATCAAGGCTTTTAAGACAGCTTGGAAAAGACTTTTAGAGTTCTGCAAAATTATATCAGGCAAGTGTAATTTACAGCTAGGGCAAAATTTTAGAATGAAAACCAATAAATCCTGAATCTCAGGTGACAGAGTGAAACATTTCCAGAGTTAAGTGGTGCATTTTGCTGACGTGCAGACATTGTTCAGCAGTGGGGAAGAGGAAGGGCATTCTGCAGCTAAAGCCACAGAAATTGGAGTGAGGAGCTGCAGGGTTCATGTCTCAGTCTGACCTGGTAAATCTGAGCAATCATTTCCCCCCATGTGCTCCAGCTCAGCCTGGCTGCAGTGCAAGGGTTAAACAGTTGGTCCTTACTGCTGAATGATCTGTCTTAGCCTGTGGAGGCAACTCCTGAAGATAACTCTTCCTTATATACGGGAGGCTGTGAGATCTTTTAGAAGCATAGGAAACTGCTTTATACTTAATAAAAGAGGCCATTAGCAGCTTGTAGTGGTGGGGTGTATCTAGGAATTCGCTCAGCCCGCAGAGGAGCTCTGCTGTTATTACCAGCATCAACGGGAGAGGATGTTCTCACCGTGCGGGAGAGAGACAGAACCCAGCTGGTGCTTTCGCTTAACACATTGAGCTCCGGAGCACGAGGTTGCACAGAGGCTTGATCCATCCAAAGAAAACCTGGGCCACAACCACAAAGCTTGTCTTCACCAGGAGAGGAGTTTCTGCTCCAGATCTATGGACAAAGCAAATGAAGTGTTTCTGATGTGCCTCTGCTCCCTTGTGCTTATGTGCTGCTCATTTCTTTTACGGATACCCTGCAGCATCTTGGGGGTGTGGTTGGGTGATTCCCATTCACCTCCAGCATTTCTGAATGCCCCCAGAGCACAGAGGCCACAGATCTGCACCAGGCACGGGGTGTACAGGGTACCCTGCCCACCGTGGTGATGGTCCAGAGGGGTGGCTGGGTAGAGAGGGGATATCTCCATCCCAGCAGATGGAGCGCCTGTCTCTAGGCGAGGCTTTGCAACGTGCACAGGGACCTGGCGCTGGCTTGGAGTGCAGGGTTGTTCTGTATCCTACATCACTGAGGTGAAAGATAAGTCCCTGTCTAGGGAAGAAGTTGGCCTACCTTGGAGCCCTCCCACTGAGCAAATTCCCTCTTGAGTTTCACAGTTCCATCTTTTTGTCATTTTATCATTTCTAACACAATTGCTTCCACAGCGATTTGCAGCACGGTTCAATTCTTGTCAATATTTTGAAATTCTAAAAACTTGAAGGGCTTTTCATTTGTTCCACACTCAGCTGAGTGATGTGCTGAGCCTCCTCCTGTGCCACCCAGCAGAGAGGATGAGCTCTGGGGCTCTGCAGAGCAGCTCCCATCCCACATGGCAGATGAGCAGACAGACCTTACACATGGCTCTGTTTCCCTGGGCTGCACTTTGCCAAGCTCAGTTCCACTGGGGTTTTTAAACAGCCCAAAAGCCTTGCATTTGACATGAACTGTGACTTCCACTTGATTCAATCACTGCTTAATTTGATCCTCCATTTAATTTTATCAAAACTGTAGTAATCAAATAATTTGTACTAAAAACATTACAATTTCCACTTGTTTATTCTGATCAATTTTAATCCTTTAAGGCACAAGGTTTATTTAACGTAGTTATGAGGTAACAAAACACTGTCATTAAATCCACAAGGAAAGGACACAAGACAAAAAAAAAGATAGTTAAAAAGATCTCAAGGAGGGCTCATAATGCAGGAAAAAGACAATAACACAATAACACACTGTTATTTAGAAGTCATGCTATGCATGATGAGAGCTAAGCAGCATCCTGCTGGTTGTGAGATGAAAAGATCAATGGCATGTTTCAGACAAGACATTTCTGGCAATGAACTGCACTGAAAAGGGGAAAATACATGAATGATCTGAACAGATTAGACATGAATGATTTTGCCTTTTTTGGGTGTTCACTGACATGAACGAACCTGCGTCAGCAGCGTTCGAGTTCTCCCTCTGTACAACAAACCTCCAAAACCAGCTGAGTAAGAGGAGGGAAAGCTTTCCACTGCAGGCTGCTCCTCTGTTGCTTTGAGAAATGAAACCCAACCTCCCACTCTGCTGCTCCTCTCCCTGACTGTGCCCCATCCCTCCCCTGCAGGTGAACACCTTCATCTCCTTCGTGTTCCCCATGGTCGTCATCTCGGTGCTCAACACCATCATCGCCAACCAGCTGCTGGTGATGTTCAGGCAGGCGGCCCAGGAGAACCAGGTGTGCACCATTGGAGGGCAGCAGACCATGCTCAGCATGTCCATGGAGCCCAGCAGAGTGCAAGCCCTGAAGCACGGCGTGAGGGTCCTGCGTGAGTATGGCCTTCCCTGGGGAATAAAGAGATGGGACTGCAAGAGGAACAGGTGGGAACGGGAAAACACTTGAGCCCAAAACGCCCTCTCCTTTTGTCTTTGCTTGTTGGTGTTAGGAAAATTAATCCACAAACACCAGAGGTTTATGTCCAAAAAGGACACAGAGGAGTCCTTTTACTGTATTCGAATAAAGGGAGAGGCCATGGGGCATTCCCCTGGGATCTCTCAGATTTTTGGAGGACGCAGCCTCCCTTTTTATTCCAATTTCCCTCTCTCTTTCCCCTTTGGCTGAGGTACTTGAGTGGTTCAGACTTCTCAGAATACCTGATCCCAAAGATTCCCCTCTAATGTATAACCCTCCCTTTTCATTTTTAATTCTTACTGAATTTAGGGGTTTTTCTTCTCCATTGTTCCTTTCATCTCTCAATGTCTAATTTCATTTATCAGCAAACCTGAAGTTTATTTGTAAAAGCAAATGTCTTATTCCATTCATCAATCAGTGGAATCCTTCCCATTGTTTCTTTTTTCTCCCAGTGCTGGTTTTATCTACCAGCAGACCCACAGCTTATTTGTAAAGACAAATCCACTATTCCTCTCATTGGTTTGCAAAGCCAAGGAGCAGACCTGCTCACTCTAGAAAAGCAAAACCAACCCAGCATTTTAATGATTTAGTCGACAGCAATTTAAGCCTTGCTTGTGTTGTTTCATTACTTCCCTTTTTCTGCATAGCTCTGGTTCAGACAGAGCTTGAATAAAAGATCCTGCACTCAGGAATTGAGCTGTACTGCAGAGTAGTGGATGTCTTGATTGAATAAACTGAGGAAAAGACCAAAGAATCTGGTAGCTTAACCTTAGAGAGGATAAGGCAAAAGCTGCTCAAAAATAGCACCCAAAATATCTAACAAAGGGTGCCCATAGTGATTTCAAACACGAGATGGGGAGAATTTGTTAGCAGAAAACTTTCTGATGTTCTGGTGTTTTTAGAAGGGTTTGGGTTGGCAGGGACCTTAAAGTTCACCTAGTCCCAAACCCTTGCCACAGGCAGGGATACCTTTCACTATCCCAGGTTGCTCCAAGCCCTGTCCAGCCTGGCCTTGGACACTTCCAGGGATGGGGCATCTTGGTATTTGAAATGCTTTGGTTCAGACCACATTTCCAATGAGGATAATCCCTAGAGAAGGCACAAGGAGCCTCCATGACACTTTCCCAGCTGTTTTTCACAAGGAATGCATCCCATGCAGCACTCATTGCCTGTGCCGTAGGTGAGCCACGTGTGCATTCCCAACTGGAAAACACCCACTGAGAAAAAGGAAAGAGAGACAGAGGGGACATTAAATTCCCCACAATTACCTCGTTGGACTGTGTTTGTTTACTGTCTCTGCACCCAATGAACTGTTTCCCAGGGGTGGGTGAGGAGGGAGCCTCGCTTCCCCACGGAGCCCACCAGGACCCTGCTCCTTGCTATCCCTTTCTGGTTTTTAACACTTCTGTCTGCTGAGACGAAGTGAGAAGCTGCCTTTCCTCACTCTACTACACCACCTCACACACCTCTCCCTCTCTCTCCTTTTAGTATTGTATCCTCTTTGATCATCAAGAAGAGAGAGCTCTTCATGAATAATAGCAGAGAAACCTAAATTTACATCTGGCATTTCTCAGCACTGGAGGAAGTGCACCCCTCACCCACAGGTCCACATCTCCTCTGAGGCACTGAAAAACAACCCTTCACTTTCTGAACAATAAGTGTAATTTTCTTTTTCATCTTCTTCTGCTTCCTCTTTTTTCTTCTCCAGGCAAATTTTTGGGTTTGCTGTGTACTGCAAAAGCTGAGAATATTTGGCAAAAGTGAGGGTTTCAGTCTGGAGACTGAGGGGGTTCAAAAGTGGGTCAGATGTGGCACCATGGGGGCTCCCTGTGCAGGGATGCCCAGATATTCCAGGCATCCCCTCAGGGCCAGCCCAGCAGCAGGACTGAGCTCCCCTCCCTGCTGGGAAGGCAATGAGAGGGCAGCTGTTTGCTGCATTTCTGTGCTGAGGAAGATCCAGCAAATAAAATATCCTCCCTCACTTTTGTCTGTGATTCACTCCACCATGCAGAAATGCTCTCTTTATCCAGCAAATGGGAGTTAAATCCTGTGCATTTCAGTTTTTCAGATACAAATTTTTTATTTTTTTTCTTTTATTATTGGAGGTGCTTGGTTCACACTTTTGTCACCTGTTCCTCATGAGTTACATTTTGATAACCCAGGTCTCTGAGCTGTCTGAAAAGTAGCAAAGAATACACAAGGATTCACATGATTTATCCTGGCATCCATGACAGCCAAAATCATGAACAGAGTCTGGGCTCATTTATGGAAGAAAAGAAAAATGACACTTGTCCCCCCTTATAAAACTGCTGGCAGAGTATCAGAGCTTCATGGGGGTGAAGAATTTTCCATTTCCAAAAGTGAACTTTGGCCTGAGGTACAGAGAAGGCTGATTTAGGTCTAAGGGTGAAATGTTTCAGAACTTGTAAAAGCAGTGCTTAGAAAACAATTTTTTGTCATTCATGGTGTGCAGAGCTGTTGGGTAAGATCAGAGCAGCAAAAAACTTCCCTGCTCCAAATGTACTGGGATTAAGTATTTGTTTACATTGAAATAAGAGCTAAAAGTGGCCAGGCTAACAGCCTCATTCAAACCATCCACAACAGTGTTTTCCTCCCTTTTGGTAGCATTTGTGTGTTTTCTTGGCTCTGTCTGACTGTGGTCATGTACAAATAATGAGGGTGATCAGGATCAAGGGATGTGTCAGGCCTCTTGCCTGGGAGCCAACTCATTAAGTCAGTAAGCAAGAGATTCCTGATTGCCATTCCCTCTCTGCTGTCAGAACTCAGGTGTGAGGATTCAAATTCAGAGGGCTCCAGGCACCCACAGCTTCCCAGCTTTTTTATTGAAGATATCAGGGCAAAATTGTTAAAAATACCTTCCACCAAGAGATTGCACACCCTCCTTCACCCATCCAATTCCTTCCATTAAACACCTGCAGTTGGTGTTGCTATTCCTTGGCTATGCTGGAGCCCTGGAATGCTGAGTCTCCCAAAGCTGTGTGATGCTTCACAGAAGTATGAACATTTTCTGATTGCACAGCCTGATGTGTCAATCACTTGATAAAATTCTAAATAACCTTAAATACTCACATGCACACACACACACACCAGAACAATCATAGAATCATGGAATGGTTTGGGTTGGAAGGGACCTTAAAAATCATCTCATTCCACCCCTGCCATGGGCAGGGACAATTTCCACTGTCCCAGGCTGCTCCAAGCCCCATCCAACCTGGCCTTGGGCACTTCCAGGGATCCAGGGGCAGTCACAGCTTCCCTGTGCCAGGGCCTGCCCACCCTCACAGGGAAGAATTTCTTCTTAATATCCAGTCTAACCCTTCCTTCTTTCACTTTAAAGCCATTCCCCTGTGCTGTAACTCCGGGCCCTTGTCCCAAGGCCTTCTCCAGCCTGCTTGGAGCTCCTTTAGGCACTGAACAGCCCCAGGCTGACCAACCCCAATTCTCTCTACTGCTCAAAAATCAGGGTGTATTTGAGCCTGGCTCAGGATGAAAGCCCTGTTCAGCCAAAATGTCTTTTGGGAAGGGGGCAGTTTGGTGGCATGGACTGATACTCCCACCAATACCCCTGCCTGCAGCCCCTTCTCCTCCAGGCAGCCCTCAGCAGGTCCTGGCTGCCTGTCAGACCATTCCCAGTGGATGGAAGGGAGGCAGGAGTTATTGGATGGCACAGCTGAGCTCTGATAATGACACTGAGACAAATTGATGGACATCAAGGGGAGGCTTTGCACGGGGGACATTGGCTAAGCCTATTAAAATGTAATCAGTTCCAGGTAGCGTTTGCTCTGTCACTGAAGCTGCTTAGTGAAAGCAATTATAAAGCACTTAAAGGTTTAGCCAATTAAAAGAATATCCTTCAGTCTCCCACAGCTGGCTGGGTGATGCTTCAGTAAAATGCCTCTTAGCAAGTGAAGTCAAGATGCATTTTTTACTGAACATCTGTGAATTTTTAAATTATTGAGGCCTCTATATTTCATCTAGTAATACAAGAAAAAGGCCAAGAATTAATGATGTATCCATGTATTTCATTAATTTGTGCATTAATAATTCCCCTTCTGAACAAACACTTTAAAGAGTCCATTCATTTCTCCTCACCAATGCTCCAAGTCTGAGTTATTCATCTCAGGAGGAGAATATTGCCATGAGATTTACTTTAACCAGCCTACAGACAGGAATAGCTCATACTTTGCAGCCACAATACACAGAAGAGCACCAGTCTAAAACTCCTTAAACAGTTGTATTTCATAATTCCTGTATTCTAAGGAAAGCAGATTTATTTGCTCATGAATCATTTCTCTTCAAGAAAGGAACAAAATTCACGGCAGTTTGTATCTCTAATAAAAAGTCTGAGCAACTCCAAGTGGAGTTCAGCAAAACCCCTGCGGCGTTAAGCTTGAGTGGAAGCTGATTTTAACAGCTGAAGTGTCACACTGAAATTTGGGAGGATAAATTACCTATTTAGCAATTGTATATATTTCCCAGAGATGTTTGTAGTTGTAGGTTTGCTTTGCAGCCTGCCAAGTGAGATAAAATGAGCAGCATCAGAGTGCTCCATGAACACCCTCCAAGGAGCAAAACCAGGGGTGGCTGCACCTCTTGGGGCATGGAGTCTCTTTTTTCCCCTCTCCCAAGATGTGTCTGTCCCTTTGCTTGGCCTGGCACAGCATTCCTGCAGCAATTGCAGGTTCTTGTGGCTGCATCTCTGCAGAAAACTCCAGCATTGGCGATGCCCTCCCAGCAGATTTTCCAGGTGTTAAGCCGTGACAGTGTGAGTGTTTAAAAAGTTAACTAATGTGATTCTAAACATGAAGTCAGGCCAGGGCTTTAGTCAGTGTGGAAGCATGCAGTGAATACAGCTCCAGGGCCCCTGTGATGAGCAGAAACTGTTCTGGGAGGAAC